AACTTTGTCATCCGAATATTTTTAGTTAGGAGCTTTTTTCAGGTGTCAAGAAAAGTGGACATAGGATATCATATACCCATAAGATAATCCAAGCCCCTAACCGGTAGGATCTGTGCAACAGATCTAAATAGTAAAGATACTTTTAAATGTTAGATTTTGTTACTGTTGGAGAATAACTTCAGACAAAATCCAACTCTGCCTTCCTACAAACATTCACAGCACAAAAATAGCAGTCTTGCAAACTGCAATGCCATCCCTCCTCTTTCCTAATCACTAGTTTCATGAAATCACATTTATCATAGTTTATTTATACACCAAATTATTCATCTACAACTCATATAAGAAAAAGGAAAAACATAAAAACCAGTAAATGAAAAGTTGCCACCATAGAGAAGTCCACTTATTTTAGAACCCAAAAAGTAGTGTGTTAGCCAAAAAGTATAGAAACCTTCAGCAGAGAGCATGGAATCAGTCTCTCTCATACACACATACCCACACAGATCATCAAAAGAAAGCACCAGCATTCAGCAACCAGACCCCAAAAACATCCCCATCCCACCACTGTCACAGTTCCCCACCCCCTAAAAACATTCCCCAATGCCATAACAGAAAGCACCCCACATTAAAAAAAAAAACCCAGAAATTAGTGGAAAAACTCACGTAGAAGCAAAACAAAAACCATGCACAGTGACGCTCACCACTGAATGCAAAAACCCTCAGTCCAAAAACTAAACACCTCCAACATCTCCTCCACTTCCACCACCCACCACCTAGCACGAGGATGACGCCATGACAAACTCCACGGCCCAACCGGACCAGCACCAGCCTCCGCAACCAGAACAGCCACCAAGACCCCCACAAGTTATCCGGAAACTTATCGTGGAAGTTGTGGAGGCCCGCGACCTCCTCCCGAAAGATGGCCAGGGCAGTTCAAGCCCATATGTCGTCGTGGATTTCGACGGCCAAAAGAAAAGAACTTCCACTGTCCACAAGAACCTCAACCCTTCTTGGAACGAGACCCTCGAGTTCGTCGTCTCTGATCCTTCCACCATGGAATACGAAGAGCTCGAGATTGAGGTTTACAACGACAAGAAGCTCAGCAGCGGGAATGCAAGAAAAAACCATTTCCTCGGCCGAGTTAAAATTTACGGCAGTCAGTTTTCTAAGAGAGGTGAAGAAGGGATAATTTATTTTGCACTTGAGAAAAAAAGTGTGTTCAGTTGGATTAGGGGTGAGTTGGGGCTGAAGATTTATTACTATGATGAGCTAGAGGCCCCGCCTGAGCCACCACCTCAGGAGGAGCCCCCGCCGCCGGCCCCGGCGCAGACGGCGGAGGAAGGCAACAAACCGCCGGGTGTCGCTGTGATTGAGGAATTGCCCCCGATGAGGATTTTGGAGGTTCCGCTACCGACGGAGATTGCTATGGAGGTGAAAGATCAGTTCCCGCCGGTTGTTACGATTGAGGAGTCTCCTCCACAGCCACCGCCGGCCAATGCGGCGCCGCCGGAGCATGTTAGGTATGTGGAGGTGCACGTTCCGCCGGTGATGGAGTGCCCGCCGGAGGTGAGGAGGATGCAGGCCGCGGCAGTCGGGAGATGTAGCGAGAGAGTTAAGGTCGTGAGGCGACCAGTGAACGGAGACTACTCGCCGAGAAGCATTCCCGGGACCGGAGATGCATCGGAAAGGATTCCAGCGTACGATCTTGTGGAGCCGATGCAGTATTTGTTCATTCGGATCGTGAAGGCCCGCAATCTGGCTCCGACTGAGAGCCCGTATTTAAAGATCCAGACCTCCAGTCACTCTGTCAAGTCTAGACTCGGGTCAACCCGACCCGGAGAGCCTCCATCCAACCCGGAATGGAACCAAGTGTTTGCTCTATGCCACAATAGAGCGGAGCATTCCCGTTCAACCCTCCAAATCTCCGTCTGGGACTCCTCGTCGGAAAGGTTCCTCGGTGGCGTTTGCTTCGACCTTTCCGACGTGCCTGTGCGTGACCCACCGGACAGCCCGCTCGCTCCCCAGTGGTACCACCTTGATGGCAGCGGCCCCGGCGGAGGAGGTGATGGCCAGGACAGTGTCCCTGGCGACATTCAGCTATCAGTTTGGATAGGAACTCAGGCCGACCATGCTTTCCCGGAAGCTTGGAGCTCCGACGCCCCTCCAAACCACGTGGCTCATACGCGCTCAAAAGTATACCAATCTCCTAAGCTATGGTACTTGAGAATTACAGTGATTCAAGCCCAAGACCTCCACATTGCTCCGAATTTGCCCCCGCTAACCGTCCCGGAAATTCGGATCAAAGCACAACTCGGGCTTCAGTCGGTTCGGACGCGGAGAGGGTCCATGAGCCACCATGCTCCCGCGTTTCACTGGAACGAGGACTTGATCTTTGTAGCCGGAGAGCCACTGGAAGACAACCTGATAATATTGGTAGAAGATCGGACGGGTAGAGATCCGGAAATTCTCGGGTACGTGAGGATTCCTCTAGTCTCGGTTGAGCAGCGGTTCGATGAGCGGCACGTGGCGGCGAAGTGGTTGGGGTTAGAGGGCGGACCAAATGGAGCCTACTGTGGGAGGGTACAATTGAGAATGTGCTTGGAGGGAGGGTATCACGTGCTAGATGAGGCGGCGCACGTGTGCAGCGACTTCAGGCCGACGGCGAAGCAGCTGTGGAAGCCGGCCATTGGGATTCTGGAGCTCGGGATTTTGGGCGCTCGCGGATTGCTGCCGATGAAATCCAAGGGCGGAGGGAAGGGGTCCACGGATGCTTATTGTGTTGCCAAGTATGGGAAGAAATGGGTCCGAACCCGGACCGTTACGGACAATTTTGATCCACGGTGGAATGAACAGTACACCTGGCAGGTCTATGATCCGTGCACCGTTCTAACCATCGGAGTATTTGACAACTGGCGGATGTTTGCTGACGCCGGAGAGGAGAAGCCGGATTATCGGATTGGGAAAGTTCGGATTCGGATATCCACGTTGGAGAGTAATAAGGTGTACACAAATTCGTACCCGTTAATGGTTTTGTTAAGAACCGGATTAAAGAAAATGGGTGAAATCGAGGTGGCGGTTCGATTTGCCTGTCCGTCATTGCTGCCGGATACTTGCGCGGCTTATGGGCAACCTTTGCTGCCGAGAATGCACTATCTCAGGCCATTGGCGATAGCTCAGCAGGAGGCATTACGAGCGGCGGCCACTAAATTGGTGGCGTCATGGTTGGGCCGATCGGAGCCACCGCTCGGGCCAGAGGTGGTTCGGTATATGTTGGATGCGGATTCACATACATGGAGCATAAGGAAAAGTAAGGCTAATTGGTTTCGGATAGTGGCCGTACTGGCTTGGGCGGTTGGGTTGGCTAAATGGTTGGATGATATCAAGAGATGGAGAAACCCGGTTACGACGGTTCTAGTCCACATATTGTACTTAGTGCTAGTGTGGTACCCGGATTTAATCGTGCCGACCGGGTTCTTATACGTGTTTCTTATCGGTGTATGGTATTATCGGTTTAGGCCGAAAGTACCGGCGGGCATGGATATCCGGCTTTCCCAAGCCGAGTCGGTCGACCCGGATGAGTTGGACGAGGAATTTGATACGATTCCGAGTTCAAGACCGGCCGAAATTATTAGAATGAGATATGACCGGTTGAGGTTGTTGGCAGCAAGGGTCCAAACAGTTTTGGGTGATTTTGCAACTCAGGGTGAAAGGGTCCAAGCATTGGTGAGTTGGAGGGACCCCAGGGCCACCAAAATTTTTATAGGAGTGTGCCTTACAATTGCAGTGGTACTCTACATTGTGCCACCAAAAATGGTAGCAGTAGCCCTTGGATTCTATTTTCTGCGGCATCCCATGTTCAGGGACCCAATGCCCCCAGCCAGCTTGAATTTCTTTAGGAGGCTTCCCAGTTTATCTGACAGGTTGCTGTAGTTTTGTAGATTTTTTTTTTTTTAAAAAAAAAGCAAAAAAAAAAAAGAGAGAGTACTATTTAGAAGATTAATAGAGAGAGTGGTCAATTTTTGGCGCCAGGAATTGTGGGACTGATGGAAGATTATTTGATGATTGGTGAGTGTGAAACTGTGTCTGTTTGGGCATGGGATCTGTTGAAAAGTTGATTGATTAATAACATGGGAAGAAGTGAAAAGTGAGGCAGGCAAGTGGGATTTGGAGCTTTTTGATGTTTGAATTCATTGACTAACTGTTGAAATAAGGAAAAAAAGGTAGGGGAAATATAGCCATAAAGGGTGGGGGGGAGTTTAGAAAAGAGGAGGCAGAGATTTGAAATGAAGGTTACTTGGGCTGTGATGATGTCCTGAAAAGCACTAACAAATTATTATTGTTGGTTTTGCATTTTAACATCATCAAATGTAAAACCATTCTAGTACTAGAACTTTTGCTGCAAAGTCAATAGTTTATTATTTATTTTTGAGAGTAAATTTTACCTAAAAAATTCAGTGTAATTTAATTAATTCAAATTTTTAATTTTTAGTTATCGAACGCAATTGAACATATTAATATCTGAATCCATTAAACTTAAGTGTTGAATGAAATTATAGGTATACCAATTTTGCAACGTGCAATGCCTTTTCACGAATCTATTGGTTAGAAACACTTTCATATCCAATTGCCCCTTCTCGTGCAACTCAATGGTTCTTGTCCATATTGACCCAAAAAAAAAAACAATTTTGGTTCTTGTGCGTAAAATTGGGAGGCATGTTTTATTATAGAGTAAATCTTATATGCACTGACTGACAGTGTATACACTGTCATGACTAGATGCATGACACGTGAGCTCTCATCTTATGTTTAAGCTATTTGTTTTGGTGGATGGCGAATGAAAGTTAACACTAATATGATTTACTGTAGAACATCGATCTTTAGTTAGGTAGTTGTTGATCAATATGATGATGCCTTTAATTGCAAATTTTGGTTTTTTTTTTTAAAAAAAAAGTTGAAAATTCGTGAGACCTGGAAAATGAATGGGAAGGATGGAGTAATAATCGTCTGGCTTGTGGCCTGGAAAGAAAGTGGCAGTTAGGAAGAAGCTAATTTTTCAAGGGTCACTCTAAAGATGACCAAAAATAAAGGGGAATGAAGACCACCAAAAGGCAGAATTAGGGGCTTTGAGTTTCTATTTAAACGTTGATAATAGCCTTTTAAGCTTTTTATCATACCACTGTGAAGTTCAAAAGATTACTAATCTCAGGTCTGTCAAATACTCAGTTTTTACTGCTTAATTGAATCTTGCTGCAGCAAAATTACTTGTTCAAATGTCAATGGCGTTGCTCTCAGGCTTCATAGCCCAAGAACAAAAAAAAGCAAAATCTACCATGTAATCTGTTTCCCAATAATGCTGAATCTTGTGCAATTCTTGTGTTTTGTTTTCTCATTTTTCATCAGACTCTCAAATGCAATTTCAGCATTTTCCCTTCAGTTATTTGGTCCCTGTAAATGCATGTTGAAATCTGAGCTGACAACCCTCCAAATATTGACAGATTCATAAGAGATAGTCAAGTATATGAAGATACAACACCTTGTCTGTGATTCTGCTTGTACAATCTTCAAATTTACTTAGAAATGGAGGGGAAATTTACTAGCCTCTTCCCTTTTTTTTTCTTTTTTTTTGGTTATTGTTTTTTCAGGCAAGAACAATACATTAAGGCATGGGAGGGACTGAAGATTCAGGCAAAAATGAGTGTGCAACCAAAACTGAGAAGGACAAGCATGAAAAGAAGGAGAAATCGAAACACAAGGATGAGGATGACAAAGGAGAAAAAAGTGAAGAGAAGGCAAAGGACAAGAAGAAAGACAAAGATAAGAAGAAGAAGGATCCTGAAGATAAGAAGGATCTGTCGAAATTAAAGCTTAAGCTTGAAAAGCTTGATGCCAAGATGCAGGCTTTAGCAATTAAAAGAGAAGAAATTGTCAAGCTTATCAGTGATGCTGAGAAAGCTGCAGCAAATCCAACTGCAGAAGCTGCCGCTCCACCTCCATCTGCTTGAACATTTCTGCGATAGTGCAAGAAATTTAAGATCAAGATCTGTAGAAATTGGCAGATCTTATCTGTTAGATGCCAGAAATTGTGCTGATATGTGTTATAGCATTAGGAAAACATTAAATTATTATTCTGAGACAAAGTTGAAAGTAGAAAGTAAGCTTGTGTATGTATCAAAAGTAGAATTTCCATACACAAACAGATGATGAAAATGCATCTAAATGTTATCCAGACTGGGATTGTAGATTATATATCTGAAAAATAAACCATGGCCTTGAGTGATGGAATTGAAAATAGAAGCAAACCTAGTTTTCACTCAGGGACCATTTAGTTGTGGCATGAATATGATATTGCACTGATATCCAGACTGCATAAATTCTGGATTTGCTAAAGTGGATGCCATAAGGCTAGGAGGCATACCTCCTTGATCCTTCCTCATGCCCATACTTCAAGATTGTTCACACCATTTTCACATTTATATGGTATTTTTGTTGTCCTGATTAATAATAATTCATGTTCATTTACTGGATGAAAAAAAAAAGAGAGAACCAGAAAATAAAAGTTATCAGACCACCTAAATCACCATTCCAATGTAAATATCTCTAGTACATATTGTGAGAAAGCTAAAAATCATCTTCATTGTTGAGGAAGCTGACAAAGAATGGTGGCTTTAAGTATACAAATCAGAAAATTAGTCAAGCTTGTAGCAGGACTCAAGAGAAACACTAGAGCGTGTCTGAAGCAGGTGAAAGTACTATTGTTTCTTCATGATTATCATGATGAATTTAATTACGACTGCAAACAGATATGATTCTTCCTAAAATGAGTTGCTTATTCTCTTCATATGTTTACAGAGGATGCCTAAGTCGTTGACCTAAAATACTAGGAAGCTTCCTCCAATAGATGTAAATCCAGCAGGAAGTTTCCCATTTTAACAGCTTCTTTCCAATTTTCTAACATAAATTCCTTCTGAGCAAACCGGTGAAACCCCAGCATGAAAATTTTGAAGCAGCAATGGGAAGGAAGCCTGGATTTTACTCGGATATCGGAAAAGGTGCCAGAGGTAATTTCAGTAATGCTTCAACTTTCCTTCAGCTTATTCTTCAAAACAAAATATAGCAGTGAGATACAAAATTCCGTTTACATGTTTTGTTCTCAATATACTGAAGCTATAAGTTCAAGATTTCAGGTATTGGTGCAGCAGATATTGCAAAATCTTTATAGTCCTCTAATTTGTTAAGAATTTTTAAAGCAAACATAGCAGAATTCTTTATACATGAATGTAGCAATAACCTGTCAAATGTTCCTCAGGACTTCTGCACGGGTACGTGCATCAGCCACCAATTCATTATCGGCTCGGATGGTTCAACTTGAGTTTTCATCTCCTCAGTGAGAGTATGTTGCTTTGATCTACAGTTTACGGAAGCTTTAGGCTATATTTCCTGTTCAATTTTATTTTTCCATTCCTGTGTAGCAGATGTTTTCATTGTGCTTCCTCGAGCCCATCAATAACATGTCCAAGAAAGTAATGGGCAACTTTTTATGTTGTCAACTGAAATTTTGGACAAAATCCAAACTTTTTTCACTTAAACCTTGTGCTTTTTTGTAAATTGCCCAGAAATCTCTTGGATCAAGGTGCATTTTGTTGATTGATTGTATCGTTTCCCATTTGTGTTTTGTACGAGGGATTGAACTGCTTGACTAACTCATCCTTTGATGAAATTGTGCAAAGATCCTTCTTTTGTCACAAGAAGGGGGTTTTGAGTACATTTCATCCAAATACACTGCGCAGGAAAGTGTTAAGATATCATAGTTTTGCAGCAGCTTGTTCATATGTCAGGATCTGCACTTAGAACTAGTTTCACCATTAAAATGGAGCTGGTTCTTCTCATCTACTTCCTGTCATGCATCGATCCACGCTTTCAAGAAGTTATATCTGCAACATGTATAATATAACTGCACCAGATATTTGGGGTTCTGTTTGCTTGATGTTTAAAGTGAATTATATCTCATTGTTTTGCAAGATTAACTTACTTTCAATCTCTGAATTTTCACAATCTCTGCAGTTGACAGAATCGTACGCGGGCTAAGTGCTGCTTTTCAAGTTGTCATGCCATACCAAAGGTCGAGCATGGTGAGAGTTCCAATTTTTGACCAAAACTTCTACTTTGCACGGCTTGAATTATGACACTCTGCATGACTGGATACTTCATTCCCAGAAATCAATTAACTAAAGTGGATTTTACCTTACAGGTTGAAGTTCAGTACTTGCATGATTTCGCTGGAATTACAATGGGAGCCAGTTTGACAAGGAGTCCGGTAGTAAATTTCTCAAGTGTACTTGGGACCAGCAGCTACAACATTGGAACTGCTATTTCGGTCGACACTCTGCTCGGACAACTCTCCCAGTGGGATGCTGGTTTAAGCCTCAATACTCGCTTCCTGAGTGCTGCAGTCACATTGTAATTGTTTCTTTTTCCCATGAGGAGAGTGTGACCTTGGGGGTACTAGACAAAGTTGTGAAACATATATCTCTGTCTTGATACAGGGAAAACTAAAAGATTCTCATAGAACATTCTACAAACCAAGAAACTGTCTTGCAGTCATACTGATTGCTTCAGACAATGAACTCAAGTAGATGTTGCAGAAAGCTGATAAAAATAAGCAAAATTCGTCTTATTTTGATATTCTTGTTCTGATGCTGCAGGACTGAGATGGGTAATGTTCTGAGCGCTTCCTGTTACTCGGAGCCCCTTAGAGGAACCGCGGTCGCAGCTGAGCTGACCCATAGATTTTGGCACGAGCAGACTGTTTTCAGATTTGGAGGGCAGCATTCTTTAACTGAATCTACGCGTTTTAAAGTTCAAGCAGGCACTGATGGAAACATTTCGGCCGCTGTTCGCCATACTTGTTTCTCAGCTGTGATCTTAACAATTGCAGGGGAATTAAACGTTAGGGCAATGAGGAGTTCTAAAATGGGCATATCTTGCTCTTTCCATCATGCATTGCTACGTCATTTTTCCTCCTCAATGGGAATTCCTTTCAGCATTGAGTTTGAGCAGTGATTGATTGAAATGATAGCATTCCTTTTCTTTTCTGATAGATGAGAAAGAAGGTTTGTGCTTGATGGACTTTTCCCTCATATTCAAGATGGAGGTGTACTTATTTTTTTCTAATCGAAGAGAAAGAAAGTTTGACTTATCCCTCATATTCATCACGCACTCAAACATCAAACAAGCAGAGGCATTCACTTAAAGAGAAAATGAACCTTTTACTCGTCAGCAAATTTTTGTTGTACTGACCAACAAGACCTACAAGAAAGAGCTGTACAAAGAGTGAGGCATAGTTTAAGGACCTGTCATTTCTGAGGGCGGCAGACTATGAGGCAAAATTTTCCTGCTGTTCATTGTTTTTATGGACATCTCATGTAGACCTGTTTTTATTCACCATAAGATTTGACAACCAACACATGCATAAACAGAGCCACAAAACGCGAGGAAACACAGCCATGAGGACAATCATCCCATAAAATTGCTAAAATTGAAGTCATCAAGCTTCACAAGCCACTGAGATGCTCTGAAAATTAAGAGTCTCCAGAGGTCAAACCTGAACAAAATCTAAAACTTGATATTAAACAGGTGGTGTAACTAGTTTTTGCTTCAAGATGAACTTGCAGAAGCCTGAAGTAGTCCATCACGAATCTGGGTTGCCACATCACGAACAGCACCAGGTCCATGGGGAATAAACACAGCAGACGACTTGGAGGCAGCGCCAATTTCTTTCATGGTATCGAAGTATTGAGTAACAAGAACCATGTCCATGACATCTTTGGCTGTTGTTCCAGGAACATTCACTGAGAAGCCGAGCACGCTGTCTCTCAAACCATCAACAATAGCCTGACGCTGGCGGGCAATACCCATACCCGAGAGGTATTTGGCCTCAGCCTCACCTTCAGCTCGCTTAATTTGTAGGATTTTCTCTGCCTCAGCCTTCTCATTAGCAGCCACCCTCAACCTAGCAGCTGCAAAGTGCATCATTGTTAACAGGAAATGGTTGTGCAAAAGAGACAAAAATGAATGTTACTATGGTGAAACAAACCAAATAAATGTGAATTCAAATTGAAAAGGTACGGATGAAAGAGTTGACAGAGCCAATTGATGGTTCAAATTTGCAAATAAATGAAATTTGCTACTTCCACATGCCAAGTTTGCAACATAGGACTTCGAATAACATCATAGATTCAAATGACTCAGAAAAAAAAACCGTAGAAATTAGCCAGAGGTTGCACTTAGATGAAAACACCCCAGAAATCACAATTAAAGTTCCTCTTTTCTGTATGCAGTAACTTGTTTCCACGTAATGCATCATAAACTACCATGCAGTTCGAGCAGGCTCTAATTCTAGGCAGATACCAGAAGGAACAGTGTGTACTATACCTGCATTGATTTCGTTCATTGCTCTCTTCACATGCTCATCTGGCTCAATGTCAACAATCAGTGTCTGAACAATTTCATATCCATAAGCAGACATAGCCTACAAGAAATTTTGCGTGAGAACAAGGCTCAACTGGGATGCTTTAATTGCCTTTGTTCATTACGATCATGAAAAACAATTTACCTTCTCAAGTTCTTCTTCAACAGCTTTGGCAATTTCATTCTTTTGCTCAAAAGCATCATCAAGATTGAGTTTGGGAACACTTGCTCTTATCACTAAATTAAGAGATAACACATACCTTTTTAGCAATGTAATATTATTATAGCTTATTTAACTTATCCAAACAAGAAGCAACATTGTCCTGGTACAAGTATAAATTTACCATCAAATACATAGGCCTGAATCTGGGTCCTAGTGTTGCTGAGCCTATAGAAAGCATCATTTGCCTTTTCCGCAATGGCACGGTACTGAATTGATGCGACGACATTGACAAAAACATTGTCCTAAAAACGAGCAATGGTGAAACCAGTACTTCAGTTGAATTACTTTAGGCATGAAAACTCTGACAGACATAATGGTAATTAAACTCATAGCATGTCCTGTAACACACATAGCAAAAGCATGATGCACAAGGTTCCTCAACATCCAAATTGCACTATTTAAAACAGTTTTAAAGCCCAAAGAATTGCAAAAAAAAAAAAAAGGCAATTCTGATGAACATCAGATCAAAGGGACAGACCTTAGTCTTTGTCTCACAGCGCACATCCAGTTGCTGGAGCCTCAGAGAGAGATGTCCGGCCACTTGACTCCCTAGAAACCAAGGCATACAATGGCATCCTGGCTCAAGCACATCCTGAAACTTACCAAAACGTTCCTTCATAGCAACAGTGGATTGGTCCACTTGCACACAGCAAAACAGGTTACCCATTTTCTCCAGA